TCAATTCTTTATAAAGAATATTTTTTCTCCTTTTAAAAAGGCTTAAATTTTTCTTGAATGGTTCTAAAAATGAGAGGAACAAATTAGAAACCTCAGTGTTTAGCATGCTTCGGGTTATATACTTTTAAAGGACAGGGACTGTTTTAGGGAACTAGGGGAATGGCTGTGTTCTTTTTAATCACTCATCACCAAAAAAAAGAGTTTTTTCTTTTTTACCAATTCATGAAACAGACTTTATAGAAGACAACTTATAAGCATTATTGTTTACCAAAATAAAACTTTTTTTTTTAATATCAGGCAACTATTAGTAGTTATATATAGGCTCAAATAAAAAAAGGAAACTTTTCTCTGTTTAATTTCATGTCCAAAATAAAAATTTACCAAAGAATAAAGTATATTTTCCAACAATACAACTCACACTATCAAGGACATAACCAATTAGCTTATTTTTTTAACTTTTTTTTTTTTTTTTTTTAATCTCCTTTTCCCAGGTCTTTTTCCCTGGCAAGAGTCTGATCGATTTCCTTACTTGAGTAAATCCGTATCTCACCAATTCCGTCTAGAGCTCTCAGACTCCTAGATCAGCATGCACCCACCCTCACTGTCAGAGTCCATGTACCAGATGTCTTGGGACAGCCCCTGTGCCCTGTAGTCTGAGAAATTACTCAAATTAACGGACTCACAGAGAGCCCAGCTAACCCACCCTGCTTGCCACACAGAAGCTGCCCCTGCAATTCCACCTTCCTCTTACGCTGTTCCTTGCGCCACCCCCTGTGTAGCACGGCCTGGTGGCCTGTTCTCTGGAACTCTAAAAACTCCTGGCTTTCATCTGAGTGTCATTGCATTGTATCCCACCTTTTGACGAATATTTAAATCTTACCCAACAAGCGGGTACTGAAAGGACTTACCTAAGAATCTACAAAACTTCTGTAAATTTATGCATAGACTTTATCAAAAGTGTCCAAATTTATTTACATAAATGAATCATAAGAAATTCAATTCTCACACAGCAATTAATATAATTTAATGGGAAAAAGCTCAATTTTTGCAAGTTAATGCTTTAGAATAGCACACAGAAATTTTAACCATAAATGTTTTAAATTGTCAATTATCTGTAAGAACGTTCAGAAAAGAGGAGACATGATATAGCTTGGAACAAACAAAGACCATCTGTTACCTTGCATAGGGACATGCCTCCCGAAATCAGTTAACTGCCTTCCGTACCTTCCTAATGACACTTTCTTCTCCCCTTTCAGTTTGTTACTTTTAAGGCAATTATTTGTTTCCCAGGATAAGCCAAAAGATCCATGAGGATAGTGCTGGCATCTGTTTTGTTCACTGTTATATATTTGGTGCTTGTCACAGTGTCAGCATATAGTACATGCTCAGTAAATATTTATGGCATAAATAAATGTTACCAATTCTGAAAATAAATAAAAGAAAGAAAATAATATATTCTATTTGTTAAATTGTGTCACTCAGTGCTGAAGACGTAGCGTTCACATGTACTTACAAATACACAAACGTTATTCTCAACCCTTGGATACTATTTTTTAATTTAATAAGAGGGCAATTCATGTTGGATAAACCTATGTTAAAAATAACTTTGCATATTCTCTATCCTGTCTTTTTTTATGAACTCAGTTAAAACCTGAATCTATCAGCTGAAAAGTTACTTTTTCTCCTTTTGGAGATATTAACAAGAAAAGAAATACTTATTAGTGGTTCTGGGAAAGTAAAGATTAAGGTTCGGCCTCAAGATATATTTTGCATCAAATTGGTGATTACATTATCTCCATCAATGTTTAGAAAGGAGTGAATAAGTCTAACAGAGAAGTTAAATAATTATTTTATTAACTGTCACAAAATATTGTGAGGCAGAGATTTGTTGTTAAGGAAGCTTTTGGTTTGATGTTTGTGAAATCAGTATCTTCTATTATAATTATATAAGGTCTGCCTTTAAGGGGATGATACCACTAATTTCTCAGTATAGTCTCAATCTCATAACATTTTAATTGACAATTAACATTATTCACAGGCCATCATTATTGCTTAGGACTATGAGGAATCAGAAGACCGATAAGTCATTTTTCCCCCCATCAAAGGATTTTAAACCTAGTCAGGAGAAAACAAAACTAAAAGCAGATACTCATGAATGTACAGAACCTCCCTACCCCCAAAGAGAAAAATGTTATTAAGGTAAGAGTGGAGGGGGCTCAATTAGGAAATTTGTTATTCGTCAATAGGGGAAGATCTGGGGAAACCCTCCAGGTGCACATGAGACATGAATTGGTCGAGTTTGGGAAGCTTGCCGTGGTACGTGGGAAACAAGGCGACCCTGATAGAGTCAGTAATTAACTGAAAACAGGCCAGGCGAAAAGCACCTTCTAAGCCTGTGATCCTAATGCGAGGAGAATGGGTTGGTTTGGGGAAAATGTGTTAGCTCTCTGGATACAGAGCCAGTGAGCATGTGAAAGCAAATCTAAAAGGGAGAGATTGCATCGAACTTTTAAAATGTGGACAGAATTCAGAAGGCAAAGAAAGGCTCATAGAGAAGATTAAATTAAATATCCTAAAAAGTAAGTAATCATTGGAGGTCTATGAGAGAAACAACTTTCAGTAATAACGATGTGTTTAAACAACATAAAACTGCTTTTGAGGAAATGGGAATATGAGTCAGATGGGAAGGAATTTTAAGATTACTCTAAAGGGCATATTTTAGATTTGAAAAATGACTAAAATTTGAGTTGATAAGAAAGTACATTTTAGTCACACTTTTATTTTCCCCCACATCCAGTGTCCATTCTGGTACTGCCTGTTTTGTGATCTCAGGTATTTGCTATGAACTCCAGCCTATCTCAGCAGGTGTTTGGGTTTGTTTTGTTTTTTTAAAAAATATATCTTTATTGATTTCAGAGAGAGGCAGGGAGAGGGAGAGAGAGAGAAACATCAATGGTGAGAGAGTCACTGATCGGCCGCCTCCTGCACACCCCCGACTGGGGATGGAGCCCGCAGCCCAGGCCTGTGCCCTGACCGGGAATCGAACGGCGATCTCCTGGATCCTAGGTCCATGCTCAGCCGCTGAGCCACGCCCGGCCGGGCAGCAGGTGTTGTTTAACATGCAAGAAAGAACTACATATTATTAAATCAAGTAGATGATAGTATAATAAAAACCCCACAATTATTGGGCACTTTCAAATGGTAGTAGTGCTAACATGGGCTTTAGCAAAGATCTACATTTCAGTTCTTCAGTTATTTTAATTGTTCATTAAGCAACCTTGCTGGTATGTATTCTGCATTGTCTTCTACACTTTTATTCTGATGACTCTGCTTTTCAAATTGCTGTATGCCTCAGGCATTCTTACCTATCCACTTAACCTCATTCGTAAAATCAATTCCTAATTTCCAAGCTATCACTTATCACTTGACTGTTTAATCAAGGGAGAAAAAAACAACAAAAAACAACTTTTTCCTTAACTATTTGACTGTTGTTCAGTAAATGGGCTGATATCTTTACACAATTACAAAAGAATTTCCTTTTCAAATCATGGCCAAAATGTTTGTTCTAAATTGCCTGCTGGTAAAAAAAAAAAAATAAAGATAAATACCTATGTTGACTTTTGCCCCTGAATACTCGACTCCATATGATCCAATTTGCAATTTAGCTATAGTTTTGTACATTACAAATCTTGAAAATAGGTTAAGCTCGTTAGGAAGCAAATTCAGTCTTTCGAATCAAATGGATTCTTTATTTATTTGAATTTCAGAATGCTTTCAGTGGGCCAGGTGTGCCTTAGTAATAAACTGTAGTGAAAGTATCCTTTAAAATAATTACTTAATTTTTTTAAATGTTGCAAAATTGTTTTCATGTGATTTCATATATAAGAACAAATATCTACATGGAAAACCAATATTATATATAGCCATTTAGAATATTTATTTATTTTGAGCATTTTTTAATAATATATTTGAAGTAGTACTTTTTCATTTTGTTTTCATGGAGTTGTAGTTTTTACATATTCTTCAACATTGTGCATAAAAATTTCTATTTTTCAGAATTTCTCATAAATATGAGCTTTTTGTTAAGAATTAAGAAATAAATCAGTAATAATACAAATGCCACAGAAAGAGTTGATCAGAAATGATATATCATGGTATTACACAAAGTGCTGAGGTCCCAGAAAACCTCAGTGTATTGTTTGTGGATTCCAAAGAAATAACACAGAGGACTGGCTGTGAAAAACATGGGTTTATTAGGATTTATATGTGGACCAGTGGTGACTGACTGGTGAAGCTGACTGCAGCACCGGCTGCCACTGGTGAAGTTGTCCTGTTAAGTCCCATCTGGCCTGCAGATAGCCACACCAGGGATGGTTGGCAGGTACTATTGTTTTGACACCACCCAGACTTTCCCAGCACAAGGTTTTATAGAGTACAGAAAACAGAGAGAAACACGGTATGCAGGGCGAGGAGGCCATGTATAAATTGTGTAAGATCAAAACACTAGCTGTTTACAATCCAGGCTCACATCTAGAAGCAGTTTCTCTTTGGCTTTTCTTAGACGGAGTTGTTGGCCAGGTTCCCAAGGTCTCACAATCTAGACTTGGCTATGTTCCCACTGAGTGGGAGAGGGAGTTGGAGCATAGGAAAGGGCCCCCATGTTCTCATTTTACATACACCTGGGTATCTGTTTGTCCATATCTGTCTGTGTATATGTATCTATCTATTTACTTATCTATTTTTCTATTGTATTTTTTTTTCTGGATGTAAACAAAGGTTTAAAGAAGAAAAGAGATAATGCTTACCTCTATAACAAGACATTTGATTCCTTCTATGTTATTCTTAAAAGACTAGAGAAAAAAATATCTTTGAATTGTTTAACTTAATATACTTTTCATGAGAAAATGAGATCACCAATGCCCCTTTCTCTAGGAGATAATTTTAAATAAAAATTCTAACCGCTTTCTCCTCTTATTTTCTCTGTCTCTTGTCCTCTGCAGATGGGCCTCTGGGCCCCCGAGGATTAGCTGAAGCTACAGAGATGTGCACTCAGGAGTGCTTGGTTTTGGGTCACTCTGATAATTGCTGGATGCCTCCTGGCTTGGGTCCATATCAGCACCCCAAATCTCCTCTCTCAACTTTTGCACCCCAGAAAGAATGGGTCAAGAAAGACAAGCTTGTGAATGGGCACACCCTTACCAGAGCCTGGAAAGAAGACAGCAACAGGAACCAGTTCAGCGATCGTAAGCAGTATGGCTCCAACGAAGGCCATTTCAACAACGGCAGCCACATGACAGACATTCCTCTGGCTAATCTGAAGTCTTATAAGCAAGCAGGAGGTGCTATCGAGAGTCCTAAGGAGCACCAACTCTAAAAAACAAAAAACAAAAAAGGCTGTATGGGACTTAATAACATTAATCTAAATAGACATGCTAATACTGTGTGTGTCAGAGCTTTATGTATTCAATAGATCTCTACAATTATGCCCCTTGTAGCAGGGATATTCATAACTTTGTGTTAGCACCATGGAGGATACAATGTTTTACACCATAAGAGAGAAGATAGTTTTACTAGCCATGTGATCTTGTTTACTAGAATTGATTAAACTCTCTCCATTGTGCAAATATTCTTTTTTTTTTTAAATTGCATTTTATTTTGACCCTGGACTGCTGCTATGAACAATAGAATATGCATTTGGAGAGTAAGAAAGTTCCATGGATTAGAATGATTGACAAATATATCCAGTTAGAAAATTGTGCTCTTTTTGTCATTGATTTGTGCTGGGACTGCTATACTTGACATTATACTTCAAATGAAACTTAAAAAGATAAGCATTAAACCTATTGTGCTGTTAACAACGTTAGTGGACACTTGTAAGTCAGTGTTAAAGTATTTGTAAATAGAAGCAAGTTATTATTAACAACTTTTGTGTACTTAAAATGTTCACCTAAAAAATGTTGTAGCATAATTCTGTGTTATATGGTTGCTTCTTTCCTTTTTTTTTCATTTGCCTTTTTGTTGTTTCTTTTAGTGAGGTGTTTCTACGTTAGTAGTCTGTCTTGACACACATTGTTCAAAGGCTCTCAAACACTTGTGTTTTTAAACAGGTTCTGGAAACTTGCTTCTTCTATGATAGCTTATAATGCCGAGATTCTGTATAACATAAAGATAAAAAGTAAAAACTTTATATTAGAAAATGACTTCTGCGAAATTCAGAACCTATTTTTTTGACATCCTTACTTTCAAAGTAGGCAAAAGCAAATCACTTAATTAGTAGTATTAAGTGAAAGAGTAATGGGAAAGTGTTATTGTTCAGAAAGTGATATAATATCCTGTACTTGTCACTCATGAAAAACTAATGTATCAAAATTAGCATATATTAAAGAAAAATTACTATTTAAAAATAGTTACAATTGGGCAAATGTGTGTCTACAACTTTGTTGAAATGGCAGTTTGTGTTGATCCTCATATACAATAATGTTGTTGTAACACAAGTGTTAGACCATAGCCACAAAATATTTAATGTGTTGTGCCTTCATGATGTAACAGAACATTCTCCAGGTAGGCTAGTTGGGGGAAATAAAGGGATAAATCTCTAATTATTGCTGTTTAACTGTTTGTTATCATAATTGGTCAATGCCTGGCAGGTACCAGCATCACGTCACTTAGGTCAAACCAACAGAGTGACAACTAATGTTAATAAGATCTCAGTTGCACGTGCAAACAAATCCAAATTTGAACATTCTTAGGAGGTTTTTGTTAAGGCATGACAGATGATTTAAACAAATAAATAGCATGCAACAAATTGTCTTTATTGAAAGAAGTGAAAGTTATCTTAATGACGCGGTTCAACATCAGTTTAAAAGTGAAAAAAAATAAAAATAAAAAAAGGTTTGCTAATCTGATAGTTAATTTGTTACCAAAAATAAAATTACTTTGTAAATAGCAATTCACATTTTTTCACAATATAATGGAAAATAATGGGTAGGGGTGCATTGCTTATTGCAGTACATTTTTGTCAGTTTGTGAGGGGTGTTTGATGACTTTGACAGAATAAATATCTAAACAATTATCCTTGTTACTGCTTTGCCAGTTACGTTATTTACAATTATTCAGCTCTTGCAATAAACGTTCTGAATTCCTGATTGCAGTGTGTTAATTCTTGGTCAACATCCAAAGTGACGATTTCTACTCTAATTGTTGGTTAAATACATGTTGATAAAACAACTTTTCATTAGAAATCAAGAGATTTGTTAGAGGTTTAATACCTTTGTCTTGAAAATATGGTTCCAAGTGATAGTAAAGTCCGCTAGTGGTCTATGAAATCATTTTCTAGGGAAATTCATGGGGGAAATCTGGTTCCCTTTCAGCTCAAGATTCATACAGATTTCATCAAAGTGAATTCCCAAGTCAGAAACTGGGAAGGTAGCATTGGTGAGCTATTGAAGCTATCTTCTTGACTTAGTCTTTTTAATAAGAGTTTATGGAACAAATTCTCATATATTTCATTGTGTTGACAGTGGCAGAAGAGGACCACTCTGGGATTAAGGCCTTAAAACAAGGGCCAAAACCTCATCTATATTTCTTTCAGATTAGGAAAATAGGCACACAGAGCTTTCAAGGACAATAAGACACTCACACACATATACCATGTATTTATATTGACCATAGAGCAACTAGATCAGTATTCACTGATGTTAGGGTTTTAGGGTAAGTAAGCCAGCCTGCTTCTTCCTCTAGAGCTTTTAGAAGAATTGGGAAGTAAGAGTTAGGAGATAGAGCTCGGCCAGGCATGGCTCAGCAGTTGAGCATCGACCTAGGATCCAGGAGACTGAGGTTCAATCCCCATTCGGGGGATTGAACATGCCTGGGTTGCGGGCTCGATCTTCAGTTGGGGATGGCAACTCTCATCACTGATGTTTCTATCTTTTTCTCTCCCTCTCCCTTCCTCTGAAATCAATAAAGATATATTAAAAAAAGAAGAAGAAGAAGAAAAGAATCAGGAGATAGAGACAGAGAGGTAAAGATATCTGCTTGGACCAGTGGCTGCAAGTGAAACCTTAACCCTTCTAAGCCAGACTTATCCCTTACCCTGGGCTCACCTGTTGCACCACTCTCCTTCCCTTCACAGGGGCCAAGCCTGCCCCAGGGTGCAGAGAATGAATCTATTCTGAAAACAGAACTGACTGGGCAGGGGGGCCCATACTTTCACAGTTCTCAGTTCTTTCCTTCATTTTTTTTTTTTACCAATAAGGTAAGTTAATTCCCTCTGCCTTGAAGAATAAAAGACGAAAGAAACTAAAATAACTTCTCTCATATTTTTCCTTCCCATAGAGAGTGAATAGAATAGAAATGCCCTTCTTTTTATGAAAGTAAACAAACAAATAAAACAACAGAATTTTGGAAAAGAAATTCCACATCTCCACCGTATTTCTCTAATAAATACAACAATATTTACTCTTATCAGGACATTTGGTTGTATGTAACTGTTAAACTTTAAGATTGATAATATTACAAACTAAAGAATTTACTCAAGTAAATAAAATAACAGTCATAAGTGACTACTTAAAAAATATCACCCATATTGTTTTATCGTGTAGAGATTGAATATTATGAATCATTATTTGCCTGGAAATCAAAGCCATTGACATTTCCTAGGGAAGCACCCCTGTATGAAATGTATAAAAATACTGATTTTTAGAGTGATTATCAAATATTACAATGCTATATACTAACACATTATCTAAGGCAGGTATAGAAATAAACTTTATAAAGCTGAGTATCACCAATTTGAATGAGCATTTCTACATCTATACTAATATAAAATATATATTAAAATAATGGCCATTCATTAATAGACTGAGTAGTCATTTTGCTCCACTGATGCTACTGAGCAAATCTCATTCAGTGTAGAGCAGTGTTCCCCAACCCCCATCCCTTTTTAGCTAAAGCTACAAATGCAGCTGAGTCCCAGAAGCCATTCGAGTATTTATTAAACTCTCTTGGCTCGAAGCCAGGAATGGCTAATTATTAGTAGTGAGGAGTTTTGGCAGCTAGGGATGAAAGGGATGCCTTGTCGGTTTTAATTCTAATGTGAATGCCAGGGTGTTACTTTGTAAGAGGGCAAACCAAACTATGAAAAGGAGGAGTGGTGTTGCAAGCTTAAAAATGCTTCATTGTTCTGCTTTGTTTTAAATAAAGCTGATCTTCTCTTCCTAAAGATGCTCCTTCATTGGTTCTGTTGAAAGAAATTGCTTTCAAATTCCCCCAGTGTCCTTAAAGGCCCAGTGATCACATAATGAATTTTCTATATACTGTTCCTCCTCTTTCACAACTACCAGTCTAGATTTTAGTAGATGCCAACCAAGCTTTACACTGTAAGAAAAATATAAAATATCTCTATAAGGTATGCACTATGAAACATGACTATCATAATGATAAGTCACATCAGTTCATTGAAAGTATAGATTATAGACTGTAATATGTGATCACAGCTTTCATAAGCTATTGTTTCTCCTTTGGCACTTCATGACTTAGGGTAGCATGCAAGTCTACCTCACACTCTGCTGCAGTTGCCCCGTTGCTGTCCACCCCCACCAGAGACACTGCGCAGTGGCCATCTGCCTATGGAAAATGCTAAAATTACAGCAGCTCTCATTTAATTTTTAATTTTTATTTATTTTAATTTATCTTTATTGTTGAGAGTATTACAGGTGTCCCATTTTCCCCCCAATTGACCCCCTCTACTTCTCTCCCACCCCCTCCCCAGGCCTTCACCCCATTATTGACTGTGTCCATGGGTTATGCATATATGCATATAACTTCTTTGGTTAATCTCTTCCCACCCTCCACCCCCCTTCCCTCTTTCCTCTGAGATATGACCATCTGTTGCATGCCTTAATGTCTCGATCTATTTAGTTCATCAGATTCTTTTGTTCATTAGCTTCTTCTTAAAGAAGACCCTTCAACTTTTCCTGTAGTGCTGGTCTGGTGGTGATGAACTCCTTTAGCTTTTCCTTATCTGTGAAGCTTTTTATCTAACCTTCAATTCTAAATGATAGCTTTGCTGGGTAGAACAATCTTGGTTGTAGTTCCATGTTTTTCATCACTTTGAATATTTCTTGCCACTCCCT